GGAAGGTCGGCCATTGAGGGGGAGGGGACTGGAACACACGGAATGGACCAGTGTGACCCCCACGGGGATTCGGATCCCTACCCCAGGCCCATTATAGGGGAAGGTTGGCCATTGAGAGGGAGGGGACTGGAACACCCGGAATGGACCAGTGTGACCCCCACGGGGATTCGGATCCCTACCCCAGCCCCATTTAGTCGTGGTTCCAGCGCTCTTGCTCCGCCCTCAGCTCCTCCTCCAGCCTCTGTGACACCCGGTTCTGAGAGACATAGAAAGGTGCTGAGTGGGGTCACCGGGGGAGGGGGATGGGCGCAGTCGGCCGTCACTTACCTGGACCAGGTCGCTGTATTTCTGCTCCAGCAGAGTCCGCATCTCCCGGGGCAGCAGAGGGCCGAGCTCCGAGGGGTTAATCAGCGGAGAGATTTCCTGCCGGGACAAGATGTCTCTGGAGAGGGAGGAGCCACAGACATGTCACACGGGACCCCATAGCAAGAACATTGAGGGGCCCGCTAGACAGAACATTGAGTTTTTTTTTGAGGGGCCCCATAGCAAGAACATTGAGGGGCCCTATTGCAAGAACATTGAGGGGCCCTATTGCAAGAACATTGAGGGGCCCCATAGCAAGAACATCGAGGGGCCCCATAGCAAGAACATTGAGGGGCCCCATAGCAAGAACATTGAGGGGCCCTATTGCAAGAACATTGAGGGGCCCCATAGCAAGAACATCGAGGGGCCCCATAGCAAGAACATTGAGGGGCCCCATAGCAAGAACATTGAGGGGCCCCATAACAAGAACATTGAGGGGCCCCAAATATATTATTTCACTTAAATGCATTTCCCAAAAGATACTGAATATTCAATCAGTGTTTGGGGCCCCTGACTGCCCCTCCCCTGTGCCACATCCCCCTGACTGGCCCTCCCCTGTGCCACATCCCCCTGACTGGCCCTCCCCTGTGCCACATCCCCCTGACTGGCCCTCCCCTGTGCCACATCCCCCTGACTGGCCCTCCCCTGTGCCACATCCCCCTGACTGGCCCTCCCCTGTGCCACATCCCCCTGACTGGCCCTCCCCTGTGCCACATCCCCCTGACTGGCCCTCCCCTGTGCCACATCCCCCTGACTGGCCCTCCCCTGTGCCACATCCCCCTGACTGGCCCTCCCCTGTGCCACATCCCCCTGACTGGCCCTCCCCTGTGCCACATCCCCCTGACTGGCCCTCCCCTGTGCCACATCCCCCTGACTGGCCCTCCCCTGTGCCACATCCCCCTGACTGGCCCTCCCCTGTGCCACATCCCCCTGACTGGCCCTCCCCTGTGCCACATCCCCCTGACTGGCCCTCCCCTGTGCCACATCCCCCTGACTGGCCCTCCCCTGTGCCACATCCCCCTGACTGGCCCTCCCCTGTGCCACATCCCCCTGACTGGCCCTCCCCTGTGCCACATCCCCCTGACTGGCCCTCCCCTGTGCCACATCCCCCTGACTGGCCCTCCCCTGTGCCACATCCCCCTGACTGGCCCTCCCCTGTGCCACATCCCCCTGACTGGCCCTCCCCTGTGCCACATCCCCCTGACTGGCCCTCCCCTGTGCCACATCCCCCTGACTGGCCCTCCCCTGTGCCACATCCCCCTGACTGGCCCTCCCCTGTGCCACATCCCCCTGACTGGCCCTCCCCTGTGCCACATCCCCCTGACTGGCCCTCCCCTGTGCCACATCCCCCTGACTGGCCCTCCCCTGTGCCACATCCCCCTGACTGGCCCTCCCCTGTGCCACATCCCCCTGACTGGCCCTCCCCTGTGCCACATCCCCCTGACTGGCCCTCCCCTGTGCCACATCCCCCTGACTGGCCCTCCCCTGTGCCACATCCCCCTGACTGGCCCTCCCCTGTGCCACATCCCCCTGACTGGCCCTCCCCTGTGCCACATCCCCCTGACTGGCCCTCCCCTGTGCCACATCCCCCTGACTGGCCCTCCCCTGTGCCACATCCCCCTGACTGGCCCTCCCCTGTGCCACATCCCCCTGACTGGCCCTCCCCTGTGCCACATCCCCCTGACTGGCCCTCCCCTGTGCCACATCCCCCTGACTGGCCCTCCCCTGTGCCACATCCCCCTGACTGGCCCTCCCCTGTGCCACATCCCCCTGACTGGCCCTCCCCTGTGCCACATCCCCCTGACTGGCCCTCCCCTGTGCCACATCCCCCTGACTGGCCCTCCCCTGTGCCACATCCCCCTGACTGGCCCTCCCCTGTGCCACATCCCCCTGACTGGCCCTCCCCTGTGCCACATCCCCCTGACTGGCCCTCCCCTGTGCCACATCCCCCTGACTGGCCCTCCCCTGTGCCACATCCCCCTGACTGGCCCTCCCCTGTGCCACATCCCCCTGACTGGCCCTCCCCTGTGCCACATCCCCCTGACTGGCCCTCCCCTGTGCCACATCCCCCTGACTGGCCCTCCCCTGTGCCACATCCCCCTGACTGGCCCTCCCCTGTGCCACATCCCCCTGACTGGCCCTCCCCTGTGCCACATCCCCCTGACTGGCCCTCCCCTGTGCCACATCCCCCTGACTGGCCCTCCCCTGTGCCACATCCCCCTGACTGGCCCTCCCCTGTGCCACATCCCCCTGACTGGCCCTCCCCTGTGCCACATCCCCCTGACTGGCCCTCCCCTGTGCCACATCCCCCTGACTGGCCCTCCCCTGTGCCACATCCCCCTGACTGGCCCTCCCCTGTGCCACATCCCCCTGACTGGCCCTCCCCTGTGCCACATCCCCCTGACTGGCCCTCCCCTGTGCCACATCCCCCTGACTGGCCCTCCCCTGTGCCACATCCCCCTGACTGGCCCTCCCCTGTGCCACATCCCCCTGACTGGCCCTCCCCTGTGCCACATCCCCCTGACTGGCCCTCCCCTGTGCCACATCCCCCTGACTGGCCCTCCCCTGTGCCACATCCCCCTGACTGGCCCTCCCCTGTGCCACATCCCCCTGACTGGCCCTCCCCTGTGCCACATCCCCCTGACTGGCCCTCCCCTGTGCCACATCCCCCTGACTGGCCCTCCCCTGTGCCACATCCCCCTGACTGGCCCTCCCCTGTGCCACATCCCCCTGACTGGCCCTCCCCTGTGCCACATCCCCCTGACTGGCCCTCCCCTGTGCCACATCCCCCTGACTGGCCCTCCCCTGTGCCACATCCCCCTGACTGGCCCTCCCCTGTGCCACATCCCCCTGACTGGCCCTCCCCTGTGCCACATCCCCCTGACTGGCCCTCCCCTGTGCCACATCCCCCTGACTGGCCCTCCCCTGTGCCACATCCCCCTGACTGGCCCTCCCCTGTGCCACATCCCCCTGACTGGCCCTCCCCTGTGCCACATCCCCCTGACTGGCCCTCCCCTGTGCCACATCCCCCTGACTGGCCCTCCCCTGTGCCACATCCCCCTGACTGGCCCTCCCCTGTGCCACATCCCCCTGACTGGCCCTCCCCTGTGCCACATCCCCCTGACTGGCCCTCCCCTGTGCCACATCCCCCTGACTGGCCCTCCCCTGTGCCACATCCCCCTGACTGGCCCTCCCCTGTGCCACATCCCCCTGACTGGCCCTCCCCTGTGCCACATCCCCCTGACTGGCCCTCCCCTGTGCCACATCCCCCTGACTGGCCCTCCCCTGTGCCACATCCCCCTGACTGGCCCTCCCCTGTGCCACATCCCCCTGACTGGCCCTCCCCTGTGCCACATCCCCCTGACTGGCCCTCCCCTGTGCCACATCCCCCTGACTGGCCCTCCCCTGTGCCACATCCCCCTGACTGGCCCTCCCCTGTGCCACATCCCCCTGACTGGCCCTCCCCTGTGCCACATCCCCCTGACTGGCCCTCCCCTGTGCCACATCCCCCTGACTGGCCCTCCCCTGTGCCACATCCCCCTGACTGGCCCTCCCCTGTGCCACATCCCCCTGACTGGCCCTCCCCTGTGCCACATCCCCCTGACTGGCCCTCCCCTGTGCCACATCCCCCTGACTGGCCCTCCCCTGTGCCACATCCCCCTGACTGGCCCTCCCCTGTGCCACATCCCCCTGACTGGCCCTCCCCTGTGCCACATCCCCCTGACTGGCCCTCCCCTGTGCCACATCCCCCTGACTGGCCCTCCCCTGTGCCACATCCCCCTGACTGGCCCTCCCCTGTGCCACATCCCCCTGACTGGCCCTCCCCTGTGCCACATCCCCCTGACTGGCCCTCCCCTGTGCCACATCCCCCTGACTGGCCCTCCCCTGTGCCACATCCCCCTGACTGGCCCTCCCCTGTGCCACATCCCCCTGACTGGCCCTCCCCTGTGCCACATCCCCCTGACTGGCCCTCCCCTGTGCCACATCCCCCTGACTGGCCCTCCCCTGTGCCACATCCCCCTGACTGGCCCTCCCCTGTGCCACATCCCCCTGACTGGCCCTCCCCTGTGCCACATCCCCCTGACTGGCCCTCCCCTGTGCCACATCCCCCTGACTGGCCCTCCCCTGTGCCACATCCCCCTGACTGGCCCTCCCCTGTGCCACATCCCCCTGACTGGCCCTCCCCTGTGCCACATCCCCCTGACTGGCCCTCCCCTGTGCCACATCCCCCTGACTGGCCCTCCCCTGTGCCACATCCCCCTGACTGGCCCTCCCCTGTGCCACATCCCCCTGACTGGCCCTCCCCTGTGCCACATCCCCCTGACTGGCCCTCCCCTGTGCCACATCCCCCTGACTGGCCCTCCCCTGTGCCACATCCCCCTGACTGGCCCTCCCCTGTGCCACATCCCCCTGACTGGCCCTCCCCTGTGCCACATCCCCCTGACTGGCCCTCCCCTGTGCCACATCCCCCTGACTGGCCCTCCCCTGTGCCACATCCCCCTGACTGGCCCTCCCCTGTGCCACATCCCCCTGACTGGCCCTCCCCTGTGCCACATCCCCCTGACTGGCCCTCCCCTGTGCCACATCCCCCTGACTGGCCCTCCCCTGTGCCACATCCCCCTGACTGGCCCTCCCCTGTGCCACATCCCCCTGACTGGCCCTCCCCTGTGCCACATCCCCCTGACTGGCCCTCCCCTGTGCCACATCCCCCTGACTGGCCCTCCCCTGTGCCACATCCCCCTGACTGGCCCTCCCCTGTGCCACATCCCCCTGACTGGCCCTCCCCTGTGCCACATCCCCCTGACTGGCCCTCCCCTGTGCCACATCCCCCTGACTGGCCCTCCCCTGTGCCACATCCCCCTGACTGGCCCTCCCCTGTGCCACATCCCCCTGACTGGCCCTCCCCTGTGCCACATCCCCCTGACTGGCCCTCCCCTGTGCCACATCCCCCTGACTGGCCCTCCCCTGTGCCACATCCCCCTGACTGGCCCTCCCCTGTGCCACATCCCCCTGACTGGCCCTCCCCTGTGCCACATCCCCCTGACTGGCCCTCCCCTGTGCCACATCCCCCTGACTGGCCCTCCCCTGTGCCACATCCCCCTGACTGGCCCTCCCCTGTGCCACATCCCCCTGACTGGCCCTCCCCTGTGCCACATCCCCCTGACTGGCCCTCCCCTGTGCCACATCCCCCTGACTGGCCCTCCCCTGTGCCACATCCCCCTGACTGGCCCTCCCCTGTGCCACATACCCCTGACTGCCCCTCCCTTCTGCCACATACCCCCGACTGCCCCTTCCCTGTGCCACATACCCCTGACTGCCCCTCCCCTGTGCCACATACCCCTGACTGCCCCTGCCCTGTGCCACATACCCCTGACTGCCCCTCCCCTGTGCCACATACCCCTCCCGGCACTCACCGGCAGTAGATGTTACTATTGAAGTCGAGGAGGAAGTAGATGTCGGTGGTCTCGGCGCTGCGCCGGGCGGCGGTGTTCAGCCATTCTGCCACACAGCGGTGATACGCCGAGAGATAAATCCGGAACACCTCGAAGTCTCGGGGATAGGCGCACACCTGCGGAGGCGGAGATCATCAATAAGGGGGACGTCCTACAACTCTGGGGGGTCACTCTCCGGCCTGAGCCCCTCCCCCACCATTCTCACCAGATAGTTCCTAACCCCCGTCATGTCCTCCACCACCGTCCTCTTCACTCTGTCGGCCTGGGACGGCAATGAGCCCATCTTCCCCTCCAGGTTCTTCTTCAGCCGTCCTTCCACACTGCGCCCAACCGCCTCCACCCATTGGCTCCTCATGTTCTTAGGGCCCGGAGGACCCCCCCGAGCCTCCTCCTGCTGGATGACTCCGATCACTTCCTCAAGTTTCTGATGTTTTCCTTTACAGTTCAGGGACTCGTCCACCACGGCCCACATTTCCTTCATCAGGGCCTCGTATAGGAGGGCCACATCCTTGGCTTGTCTGCCGGGACTCTTCACCCCCACCGGGCCGACCTCCCCATCACACTCGGCCTCCAGTTCCATGATGTGCTGGTCAGCGGAGCGCAGGTCCCTCTGCTGGACCAGGTGATGGATCTCCAGAACTGAGGGAGGGAAAGGAGGAGATGTCACTCAGTGACGGCGTATGGGGCCCGCCCCTAGAGGGGCAATAGAGACCGCAACTAGGGGGCAATAGAGACCGCCGCTGGAGGGAGGCACTGGAGACCGCCGCTGGAAGGAGGCACTAGAGACCGCCGCAGGAGGGAGGCACTAGAGACCGCCGCTAGGGGGAGGCAGTAGAGACCGCCGCTGGAGGGAGGCACTAGAGACCGCCGCTGGAGGGAGGCACTGGAGACCGCCGCTGGAGGGAGGCACTAGAGACCGCCGCTAGGGGGAGGCACTAGAGACCGCCGCTGGAGGGAGGCACTAGAGACCGCCGCTGGAGGGAGGCACTGGAGACCGCCGCTGGAGGGAGGCACTGGAGACCGCCGCTAGGGGGAGGCACTAGAGACCGCCACTAGGGGGAGGCACTAGAGACCGCCACTAGGGGGAGGCACTAGAGACCGCCACTGGGGGGAGGCACTAGAGACCGCCGCTGGAGGGAGGCACTAGAGACCGCCGCTGGAGGGAGGCACTAGAGACCGCTGCTGGAGGGAGGCACTAGAGACCGCCGCTAGGGGGAGGCACTAGAGACCGCCGCTAGGGGGAGGCACTAGAGACCGCCGCTAGGGGGAGGCACTAGAGACCGCCGCTAGGGGGAGGCACTAGAGACCGCCGCTAGGGGGAGGCACTAGAGACCGCCGCTAGGGGGAGGCACTAGAGACCGCCGCTGGAGGGAGGCACTAGAGACCGCCGCTGGAGGGAGGCACTGGAGACCGCCGCTAGAGGGAGGCACTAGAGACCGCCGCTGGAGGGAGGCACTAGAGACCGCCGCTGGAGGGAGGCACTAGAGACCGCCGCTGGAGGGAGGCACTAGAGACCGCCGCTGGAGGGAGGCACTAGAGACCGCCGCTGGAGGGAGGCACTAGAGACCGCCGCTGGAGGGAGGCACTAGAGACCGCCGCTGGAGGGAGGCACTAGAGACCGCCGCTGGAGGGAGGCACTAGAGACCGCCGCTGGAGGGAGGCACTAGAGACCGCCGCTGGAGGGAGGCACTAGAGACCGCCGCTGGAGGGAGGCACTAGAGACCGCCGCTGGAGGGAGGCACTAGAGACCGCCGCTGGAGGGAGGCACTAGAGACCGCCGCTGGAGGGAGGCACTAGAGACCGCCGCTGGAGGGAGGCACTAGAGACCGCCGCTGGAGGGAGGCACTAGAGACCGCCGCTGGAGGGAGGCACTAGAGACCGCCGCTGGAGGGAGGCACTAGAGACCGCCGCTGGAGGGAGGCACTAGAGACCGCCGCTGGAGGGAGGCACTAGAGACCGCCGCTGGAGGGAGGCACTAGAGACCGCCGCTGGAGGGAGGCACTAGAGACCGCCGCTGGAGGGAGGCACTAGAGACCGCCGCTGGAGGGAGGCACTAGAGACCGCCGCTGGAGGGAGGCACTAGAGACCGCCGCTGGAGGGAGGCACTAGAGACCGCTGCTGGAGGGAGGCACTAGAGACCGCCGCTGGAGGGAGGCACTAGAGACCGCCGCTGGAGGGAGGCACTGGAGACCGCCGCTAGGAGGAGGCACTAGAGACCGCCACTAGGGGGAGGCACTTGAGACCGCAACTAGGGGGAGGCACTAGAGACCGCTACTGGAGGGAGGCACTAGAGACCGCCGCAGGAGGGAGGCACTAGAGACCGCTGCTGGAGGGAGGCACTAGAGACCGCCGCTGGAGGGAGGCACTAGAGACCGCCGCTGGAGGGAGGCACTGGAGACCGCCGCTAGGAGGAGGCACTAGAGACCGCCACTAGGGGGAGGCACTTGAGACCGCAACTAGGGGGAGGCACTAGAGACCGCTGCTGGAGGGAGGCACTAGAGACCGCCGCTGGAGGGAGGCACTAGAGACCGCCGCTGGAGGGAGGCACTAGAGACCGCCGCTGGAGGGAGGCACTAGAGACCGCCGCTGGAGGGAGGCACTAGAGACCGCCGCTGGAGGGAGGCACTAGAGACCGCCGCTGGAGGGAGGCACTAGAGACCGCCGCTGGAGGGAGGCACTAGAGACCGCCGCTGGAGGGAGGCACTAGAGACCGCCGCTGGAGGGAGGCACTAGAGACCGCCGCTGGAGGGAGGCACTAGAGACCGCCGCTGGAGGGAGGCACTAGAGACCGCCGCTGGAGGGAGGCACTAGAGACCGCCGCTGGAGGGAGGCACTAGAGACCGCCGCTGGAGGGAGGCACTAGAGACCGCCGCTGGAGGGAGGCACTAGAGACCGCCGCTGGAGGGAGGCACTAGAGACCGCCGCTGGAGGGAGGCACTAGAGACCGCCGCTGGAGGGAGGCACTAGAGACCGCCGCTGGAGGGAGGCACTAGAGACCGCCGCTGGAGGGAGGCACTAGAGACCGCCGCTGGAGGGAGGCACTAGAGACCGCCGCTGGAGGGAGGCACTAGAGACCGCCGCTGGAGGGAGGCACTAGAGACCGCCGCTGGAGGGAGGCACTAGAGACCGCCGCTGGAGGGAGGCACTAGAGACCGCCGCTGGAGGGAGGCACTAGAGACCGCCGCTGGAGGGAGGCACTAGAGACCGCCGCTGGAGGGAGGCACTAGAGACCGCCGCTGGAGGGAGGCACTAGAGACCGCCGCTGGAGGGAGGCACTAGAGACCGCCGCTGGAGGGAGGCACTAGAGACCGCCGCTGGAGGGAGGCACTAGAGACCGCCGCTGGAGGGAGGCACTAGAGACCGCCGCTGGAGGGAGGCACTAGAGACCGCCGCTGGAGGGAGGCACTAGAGACCGCCGCTGGAGGGAGGCACTAGAGACCGCCGCTGGAGGGAGGCACTAGAGACCGCCGCTGGAGGGAGGCACTAGAGACCGCCGCTGGAGGGAGGCACTAGAGACCGCCGCTGGAGGGAGGCACTAGAGACCGCCGCTGGAGGGAGGCACTAGAGACCGCCGCTGGAGGGAGGCACTAGAGACCGCCGCTGGAGGGAGGCACTAGAGACCGCCGCTGGAGGGAGGCACTAGAGACCGCCGCTGGAGGGAGGCACTAGAGACCGCCGCTGGAGGGAGGCACTAGAGACCGCCGCTGGAGGGAGGCACTAGAGACCGCCGCTGGAGGGAGGCACTAGAGACCGCCGCTGGAGGGAGGCACTAGAGACCGCCGCTGGAGGGAGGCACTAGAGACCGCCGCTGGAGGGAGGCACTAGAGACCGCCGCTGGAGGGAGGCACTAGAGACCGCCGCTGGAGGGAGGCACTAGAGACCGCCGCTGGAGGGAGGCACTAGAGACCGCCGCTGGAGGGAGGCACTAGAGACCGCCGCTGGAGGGAGGCACTAGAGACCGCCGCTGGAGGGAGGCACTAGAGACCGCCGCTGGAGGGAGGCACTAGAGACCGCCGCTGGAGGGAGGCACTAGAGACCGCCGCTGGAGGGAGGCACTAGAGACCGCCGCTGGAGGGAGGCACTAGAGACCGCCGCTGGAGGGAGGCACTAGAGACCGCCGCTGGAGGGAGGCACTAGAGACCGCCGCTGGAGGGAGGCACTAGAGACCGCCGCTGGAGGGAGGCACTAGAGACCGCCGCTGGAGGGAGGCACTAGAGACCGCCGCTGGAGGGAGGCACTAGAGACCGCCGCTGGAGGGAGGCACTAGAGACCGCCGCTGGAGGGAGGCACTAGAGACCGCCGCTGGAGGGAGGCACTAGAGACCGCCGCTGGAGGGAGGCACTAGAGACCGCCGCTGGAGGGAGGCACTAGAGACCGCCGCTGGAGGGAGGCACTAGAGACCGCCGCTGGAGGGAGGCACTAGAGACCGCCGCTGGAGGGAGGCACTAGAGACCGCCGCTGGAGGGAGGCACTAGAGACCGCCGCTGGAGGGAGGCACTAGAGACCGCCGCTGGAGGGAGGCACTAGAGACCGCCGCTGGAGGGAGGCACTAGAGACCGCCGCTGGAGGGAGGCACTAGAGACCGCCGCTGGAGGGAGGCACTAGAGACCGCCGCTGGAGGGAGGCACTAGAGACCGCCGCTGGAGGGAGGCACTAGAGACCGCCGCTGGAGGGAGGCACTAGAGACCGCCGCTGGAGGGAGGCACTAGAGACCGCCGCTGGAGGGAGGCACTAGAGACCGCCGCTGGAGGGAGGCACTAGAGACCGCCGCTGGAGGGAGGCACTAGAGACCGCCGCTGGAGGGAGGCACTAGAGACCGCCGCTGGAGGGAGGCACTAGAGACCGCCGCTGGAGGGAGGCACTAGAGACCGCCGCTGGAGGGAGGCACTAGAGACCGCCGCTGGAGGGAGGCACTAGAGACCGCCGCTGGAGGGAGGCACTAGAGACCGCCGCTGGAGGGAGGCACTAGAGACCGCCGCTGGAGGGAGGCACTAGAGACCGCCGCTGGAGGGAGGCACTAGAGACCGCCGCTGGAGGGAGGCACTAGAGACCGCCGCTGGAGGGAGGCACTAGAGACCGCCGCTGGAGGGAGGCACTAGAGACCGCCGCTGGAGGGAGGCACTAGAGACCGCCGCTGGAGGGAGGCACTAGAGACCGCCGCTGGAGGGAGGCACTAGAGACCGCCGCTGGAGGGAGGCACTAGAGACCGCCGCTGGAGGGAGGCACTAGAGACCGCCGCTGGAGGGAGGCACTAGAGACCGCCGCTGGAGGGAGGCACTAGAGACCGCCGCTGGAGGGAGGCACTAGAGACCGCCGCTGGAGGGAGGCACTAGAGACCGCCGCTGGAGGGAGGCACTAGAGACCGCCGCTGGAGGGAGGCACTAGAGACCGCCGCTGGAGGGAGGCACTAGAGACCGCCGCTGGAGGGAGGCACTAGAGACCGCCGCTGGAGGGAGGCACTAGAGACCGCCGCTGGAGGGAGGCACTAGAGACCGCCGCTGGAGGGAGGCACTAGAGACCGCCGCTGGAGGGAGGCACTAGAGACCGCCGCTGGAGGGAGGCACTAGAGACCGCCGCTGGAGGGAGGCACTAGAGACCGCCGCTGGAGGGAGGCACTAGAGACCGCCGCTGGAGGGAGG